CGCGCGCTTCCTTTCTTTTTCCTCCCCTCTCTCCCTCCCCCGATTTCTTTAACCCAGCTTGGGAACTCAGAGCAACCAAAAGTAAGATGTGCGTTTTTAATACATTGTTGGGAATAGTCTTGGTAATATTTATTAGGAGGAATACTAGTCAGGCCCCCTTTTAAAATAAATAAATAAATAACTAGGTTCTGCACTTAAGCTGTAGGGCATATATATATATATACACATATATATATTCATATTTCTAACAGTGGGAAGCTAGGGCTTCTTCAGCGATGCTGGACAGGTCTTTGTGAGCGAGCAGACTTTCTGAACTCTTGGCCGGGAGACCCCCCCCCCCTTGCGTTCACCGTCTGTTGAAAGAGTGGGGGCGAGCCCTGCCCTCTTTCGACTACTGTTGATGAGCGTATCTGGGGAGGGGTGGTGGTAGAAAGAGAGAGTCATGACTTGCTGACGGGGCGGCGAAAGGTTATCTCGTCTGAGGAGTCCTGGACGGGAGACACACACGTCTTTGGGGTTAAGGAGGGGACCAGGAGCAATACTCTTAGACCGCAAGAGCCGGGCTGCTGCGTTGACACTCATAGACCCAAACTGTGCCCAGTTCAGGATTACAGTTCTACAGGTAGGTGGGTTTAACTTTTAATTGCCCAGCAACCACCAGTAGTTAAATAAAGTTCCTTACCTCGGCCCTAAAGACCGCCCTAATCTTCTCAAGTGAGATCTTCCAGTCTCAGAGAGATTTGAATCTTCTTTAGTATCTCTGTGTGTGTGTGTTTGTGTGTGTGTGCTTGCTAGAGAGAGAGAGAGAGAGAGAGAGAGAGAGACTTAAAATGGGGGTTCTAAAATGAAAAATGAGTTCTGTTTCTCGATTTAAACGCCCCAGCCTTCTTCCAGTGACTCTTAGTACCCTGACAGAGAGGCAGACCTACCGATTTCCACAGCCTCTGCAGGGACCTTTGAAGACCGTCTGTCTGACACACACATTAGATAGACATCTATCAATGTACCAGGACAGAGAGTGAGTGAGTGTGTGAGAGAGAGACATCAGAGGATATGGTACCCGACAAGAGAAGCATACATACACTTCATTGTTTCTTTAAGTCTCTGGCATTCCAAAGAACTTCCTGCTCCGGGATCCAAACAGCAATGGGGGAAGAATTAATACACACACACACAACGTCTGGCTGCCTGTGTACCTTCACAACTGGCCACGCATCTAACCCAGATGCTTTGAGAGGAGCAATGAGAGCGCACCAGGATGGGTTTAATCAAACGCAGGGGAGGAAAACACCCACCCACGTTTACTGTCTTCTAGTATATTGGAATGGGAAGATCCAGAGGTCTTTCCCGCCCCGCTTAAGAATGCATATTTCCTTTATGTTAACAGGAAGAAGGAGGGGGATATATATATATATATATTAAAAAAAGAAAGACAAGAAAAAGAAAGCCAAGAATCACGAAGCCCCTTTCAGCCTTGACACATGATTTGATTCTCTAGTTTGAAATGAGTTTTCAGTTCAAGCCCTGGTCCACGTTAAGGAAGGGGAAAGAAGATCTGAGCGTCTTTCTTGTCCTCTGGGGCAAAGCTAGCCGATCTTTACAGAGCATAACAGTTCTCACAAAATACATTTGCAGAGAGAGACAGAGGGAAACAGCACGAGCAGATAACCAGCAAGAGCTATAGTACAAATGCAGTTGGATGGACAGAGATTCGTTACTCGAATCCACACCTCTGCTAACTCGACGCTGTCCCCCTTCATGTTGCCATATACACCCCCCCTCGTCCCCCTCCCCCGGTGAAGATAAAAATGCCTCTGGCTAAATTCACAGGTACTCCGAAGAGCGGGAAGTTGCAACCTGAAAGGGCCCGGCCCTTGTCATAACAATATTACGCGTTTCATATGGTCAATTTCAAAGCGAGCGGTGGAATGTTCTATTGATCAGGACTTTGCCCCCTAGTCAGTAGTCGAAGATGCCCTCGGTGATGGCGAAGGGAAGGAAAGGGAAACCATCGGCCCACTAGGAACGCCAGGAAGGAACCCCATGCACACATGGACCTTTCCCAAACACCCGACGTCTTCCACACAATTCAGGGGAAGGCATCTGTTTCAGGATGGATAGGAATACGGTTGACTTGGCTGTGCCGGTAAGTAGTCTAAACAAAATGGCCTCTCCCCCCTTGAAAAACCCTATTCCGAGAAAATCCACTAAGGAACCCATCTCCAGCAGGGAACCTGTTCACACCTTTCCGTCCAACACAGAAAGGCCACCAAGGAAAGATCAGCTCCCTTAAAAGCAAAGCAGCCCCCTTTCTAAGATTGTTTGAATATTAATAGTTTTCCTGAATGGCCAAAAGAGAAAGCGACTATTCTGTCCCTAAGCGCTGAAGCAGGCTCCTTCGCCTCCCAAGCCGTAACGCCCAACGTCGAAATATCCCAACTAATAATAATAACAGTGTGTATATAGAGAGGGAGAATTTTAACATGAAGAGTGGGTGTATGTGTGTATTCGGGCACAGGAGACACAGAAATGAGAGATAATACGAGACCCCCTTGGAGAAAACGATTGTCAACCCGGTTCATCAATAACTGTCATTTAAAAAAGGAATCTTATTTATGGCTTTAAAAGCCGAGGTTTATGGTGTAACTTTGGGGAATAAAATCAATTTTTATTTTTTTAATTTTTATTTTTTTTAAAATCCTCTTT